CATGGACTTTTGTGCCTGGGCTGGCTTTGAACCTCGATCCTCAGATCTCAGCCTTCTGAGTAGCTAGGATGACAGGCGTGAGCCACGGCGCCTGCCTCTTGCCTCTTTTTTGAATGTGCATCTTGGTCTTTCCTTACCTCTGATACACTGCTCCCCATAGCTGTGGCATGTGCTCATGAAAATAACTGGGCTGACAAGATGGCACCACTGCCTTCATCCTGACTACATATTAGGTCTGAATTTCTTTCCTTAGGAGCCTCTTTTTTTCAAAGGCTCCCAGGTCTTTATCAAAACAAGCCAATGTGTTTTCTCCTACCCATAAAGAGTCCTGTACCCTATCTACCTCATCTTCATAGGCAACACAGTTTTGACTGTAAATCTATTTCCATTAGAGTCTTGTTTCCCTCAAGGAAATAGATTCGGGGAGCTGTTTGTGTACCCTCCTCCCCAAACAAATACTTTATAGTTTCTTAGACATGACCCAAAATAGGGTAAAAAAAAAGTGTGCAACTGGCACAATTTTATTATTAACTGCAGTGAACCATTTTCCAACCTCATTTCATTTTCCTTAACCTCCTCACATTCTCCCTACCATAGATGTCAGGAAACTAACTATATTAAAAAAAATCACCTTTGTACTTTGGGGCTGGAGAAGAATGACCAGAAACACAGTAGATGTCAGGAAACTAACTATATTTAAAAAAAAATCACCTTTGTACTTTGGGGCTGGAGACGAATGACCAGAAACACAGTATTGTGTGTGTATGTGTTTGTGTGTGTGAATACACATACAAGAATACTTTGACATAATCAAGTTCTTTTGAATAGTTGAGTAATTTTTATATTTTATGCTAGGCTTTCAGGCATTACATAAGGACTAGAATGTTTGACTGATGTTCTAAAGTCTTAAAACATTTGGCATTCCAATTTTCATGACCTTGGTTAAATGCTTTAATCGTATTATGCCATTTAAAAAAATGAATTAGTATCCAGAGTTTAATATTTGTAAATTTATTATGAAAATCCATCCAGTATAACAATATAATAGGGTTACTAAAATTAGAGTGGCTGAAAGGAATCAGAAAATTTCTACTTTCTTCTGCTTTGAAAAAAATTATGGTAATCAAATGGTTTATAAGACTAAATAGTACAAAACATCCTCCCACTTCTCCCCAAATGGCATGTAGTTAAAATCCAGACTTCGCTATTATACTTTGACTCTGTGAGCTAATACAGGACAGGTAACATCCATACTTATCTATTCTTATCTACTAAGTCCATCATAGTCCATAATATTTGTTAGCATCTTCCTAAAAACAAAACCCAGGGTTATCAATAATGACTTGCCAAGATTTCCTGTTTCAAGCCAAGATTTAATGAATGACTGTGATAGGCACTATAGGAAAGCATGATAAATCACTATCTCCCTGACTTCAAGAAGTTTTGGTCTCAGAATAACTACTATAGTGCACTGTATGAGGGCCAGAGTCGAGGAGTGTGCAGAGAGGCTCGAAGCCAAGAGGAGGGATACTAATCTATTAGGAAAAAGGACAAGAAAGTTTACCAAGGTCTCTACAGAGTTTTTTCAGGCACTAGTTAATTTAGGTTCAAAGTTAAAGCTCAGTTTCTACACTGTAACAATGTAATTTTGCATTACCTTTTTATGTACATATATTATGTAAGACATAATACATTATGTACAATGTAATACATAATACATTGCATATTTCATAAGATTTCACATTATGGTGAGCTTCATCATAAATGTGGAAACATTATTTGCTCCTTCCTATTGCCATAATCCACGATGCTAGTAGTGCCATTTCACACTAAAGGCCTGCTGGGAACTCCAGCTTTGTTCTGGATGAATTACTTTTCCTTTAATATTAGGTGCTGATGCCAAAATGACTACTTGGTATTATACAAATAGTTTTTCTACAAGTTATATTATTGCCTCATAGCTTTCTTTTTATTCAGCATAGTAGTTTCTAACTTCAAAATTACTCTTTGAGCATAGTTTCTTTCCTTTTAAAATAGGAAGTGAACTCAGTGTGTGTGTGTGTGTGTGTGTGTGTGTGTGTGTGTGTGTGTGTCTCCATCATAGGGCATGAACTCAGTTTCTGGGTGCTGTCCCGAAGTTTTTGTGCTCAAGACTCTACCAGTTGAGTCACACTTTCACTTTTGGCATTTTGGTGGTAAACAGGTAAGAGTTTCATGACATTTTTCAGCTGGGTTGGCTTTGAGCCATGATCCTCAGATGTTGCCTCCTGAGTAGCTAGAATTATATGAGAATCACCAGCACCCAGCTGAAAGGTAAACCTTTTATTCTGATATTATAATCTGCATTAAAAAGAATCCAATCTCTCAAAATAACTTTCAGCAATATCTGAGTGGCAATGTATAACAGGATAAGATCACTTCACACATGGCTGAATAAACTATTGGAATATTATGGAGAAATTAGATTAAGATATCAATGTCTTGCCTACTTAATTTTAGTGGAAATATTTTAGTAGACTACTGCATTCTTTTCTCAGTGAGAGTTCTGAAATGATCTTCAAATAGCGTGAACATTCTCCTTCCTTTATTCCTTAATAAAATTTGGAAGGACAAATTGTTCATGTGTATACGACAACAATATTTCCTTATTAGACAATATTTTAAACTATTCTTCAGTTATTTACTTAGTTTTATTTTACTCAGTTTCTTTTGAACTAAAAACTCATGTTTTAATTCAAATCTTCTGGAAATTACTTCAAAGTTTTTGACAAAATGTGAGTAAGTTATAGCATATAGAAGTTTAACATATCATGTAGAATTGCAGGAATCATTAAGGAATCATTCTTTGTGGCTCTGTGAAAAACAGACTCAGATAGGTAACTTCAGTTGCTCTGCCTCTGTAATTTTGTTATTATATTAAACTTAAAAACTATCACACAGGCCATCCAGAAAAAAGTCATTATGCACAATTATGAGTAGATATAGCTACAGACACTTAACAAATAACCTTCTCAGAGGACAACACAGAGACAACTAGCCACCAGGTACCTCTTCCAGTTTTGAAGCACCATCAGACTGTTGCTGTTTTAATTGTGTGTGTAAGGGTTGGTTTACTAGATGTTTATCCAGTTTCTGGGGATTTTTTCCAATGCAATGACTTTTACATAGGAGCTGATAAAAAGTTATAAAGAGAACTAGATGTTAGAAGTCATAAAACACTGAAGTGAATTTCTATAACTACACATCATCTAGATTTTGAAAGTAGAACCTATATCTTGTAAATAATGGTATTGATCATATAGGACGACTTAGGGTGCTCCTTTAAGAGAAAAAGTTGTCCTTTAAGAAATTCATCAAGAGTTTTTCAGCTTCAAAACTCTATGACAAATGAACCTATTTCTCTCAAGTTGCATACAATGTAGTACAAGGCTTAAGGTTTTTCAACTTACTTATTGGTTTACAAAAATCTATTTGGTGCCCTCTAAACAACAGTTAGCAAGTCAAGCAAGTCAGATGTCTAGAAATCACTTTCAAGTTAGAGGTCAGGCCTTGTATATGCTGCTTTCTGAGCCTCCAGTTGGTATTTGAACTTCAGGAAAAATCATAAATGTTTCCAAATGGAAAAAGTGCTATGACCCAATTTCTCTGTGCACATGTACTATTTACTTTACAACCTTGAAGCCTGATAATAGAGAGTGCTTCATCTTGTTTTCTGGGCTGGCAGCATTTGCCATGCAGGTAGAATACATGCAGGTAAAATTTCATACCGTGCTAAATCACAGCATTCTGAAAAACTCAGGGCCTTGCAAAAGGCCATATCTCAAAAAAGTTACAGCCTCAAATAAATGTGCCATTTTATAAAATTACACCTCCTGTATCAGAAAAAAAATATTCCTTCATGTGAGTGACATTTATATGACTGCCATTTATAGAGAATAGGACATTTTCACACAGTGAGGCTGAAGAATGGTTCTCGAAAACCCAGAGCATTCGCAAAATGATAAATGTGGTAGAACTTTAAAACGTTCATGTGGGAAGAGACACTCCTTCCAACAGCTGGGCTAGTTGTCTTATAAAAATGAAACCTGCATTATTATGAAAAACAATTACACTGTTATACCTTCACCATTTAACAAGACTTTCAATGTATTTTAAATCTGCAACATCCTAAATTACATGGCTTTTCACCTTACTAAAGCTAATTCTGGGTCATCCAGACCAAAAGCCTTTAATTTTACATCCATGGATATTGAGGCTGGGATATTGAGCTTCTAGTTGTAACTAGAAATAAAATTTTCCATCCCATTCCCCTTGCTCCAAACAATTAGCTGCCCTGGACACACTTATCTGTGAAAGAAAATGCTCAAATTACCACTCAGAGCAAAACAAAAACAAAAACACCACCTAAACTAAAATGATCTTATCTTCCTCCTGTCTCCGGACAAAGAATCAAGACTTTATTTTCTCTTCGCAGAAAGTAACATTAAAATTTTTTTTCCCCCTTTATAGAAGCAATTGCTATAGTGCTCAGTGAGTTTAAATCAAGATCAAGGAAGAAAGAAGTTCCTGGTCTCAGGGCAAACTTCAGCTCTAGTTGAAGCAACAGACTCACATCTGGACTTTGAGATTGTCAAATTCACATTTTTTTAACCAGGCTGCCTTTGAAGGGCGCCACAGATTTGCACCCGTGCAGAACTAAGACCGAAAACGGAATCCAACCCCCTCTCTTCCTTCTTGGTGTTCCTCTGCACCCTGGGACAGTGAAATGGTGAGCCATGCACAACTTCAGAAAGCTGGAAGTTTGCTGAATTACCTAACCGACCTCTGCGCGGCCTGGGCTGCCTGGGCTGGAGGGGTGCCAGGGCGCCGGTGTTTCCAAACACTTTCTCCACAGTGCAAGCGGGCTGCAGAGTGAGGTTCTGGAAACAGGGGCTCCGGGTGGGCAGTGGGACCCGGGCACCTAGGAAAGGCAGGGGGCCACATCCAGCAAGGTGACCCACCTGCGGAAGGAAGAGGCGCCTCCAAAAGGGGCTGAGTCTCCGCGCTGCAGCCGCGATGCTCCCCAGCCAGGCCCAAAGAGAAAAGCTTCGCGGGGTTTCCAGCCAGGCAACGAGGCTGCAGGCAGGCTTTGCCTGGTTTAAGAAGGCAAGAGAGAAAGAGGGAGGGCCCGCGAGATTTCGCAAGAGAAGGGGTGAAGAAAGGTTTCCAGGAAGAGTTCAAACCGCCCGGGATTCCCGGGCAGCTGGAAGGACCTGCACTTCCTGTGCCGATCTTGCTTGCAGATGTTGTTGCTTACTCCCAGAGAGGGATTGGGGTGTAGCAGGGTTTTTCCCGAGCCCCTGGGATCTGTGCATCGCTGGCTGATTGCCGCTTGGAGAAGCAGAGGACAAACCCTTTCCTGATCTCAGGCCAGAGAAGTCTCTGAGAAGCTGAGAAAATACCATCTGGACTTGCTTGTCTTCTTTCTCTTGTCTGTTCAGAGTAAAAGGTGACATCATGCACCTCTCTACCTGGAAGGCCTGGGTTCTCATGGGACTCAGAGTTTGAGTGAGCTGGAGTTCTCAAGTCTTAATGCAGGTAGATATATCACTCTTAAAAGAAAAGAAAAAGAAACATATAACCGGGCACTCAATCCTAGCTACCCAGAAAGCTGAGTAGTCTTGGCAGGAAAGTCCTGAGACTCTTATCTCCAATTAACCACCAGAAAGCTGGATGTAGAGCTGTGGCTCAAGTGGTTGAAGTGTTAGGACATCAGCCTTAAGCAAAATAAATAAATAAGTAAAATATAAAATAAATAAACAAAAAATTAAAATGCTCAGAGACAATGCTTAGGCCTTGAGTTCAAGTCTCAGTACTGGCACACACCTCCCCCCGCACCCCCCCCTCCCAAAAAAATAAAGAGTAAAGAAAAAAAAACAAAACCCAAACTCAGTCCTTCATAAAACAACAATCACAAGAACCAAATCAAACCAAGCAAACTCAAACAAATAAAACACAATAAAACAAGGATGAGGAGATCTTATCATGTACTGAAGACCATCTGTTTCTACAAGCATTTGTTCCAGAACTGCCCTGTACAACAAAATCCTGGAAAGCTCAAACCCTTTGTATAACATATTTTAAATTATCTCCAGGTAATTTACAAAACCTATTACAATGGAAATGTGGTATAAACACACTATATTATATTGTTTTAATAATAAAAACTGTCCATGTTCAGAACTGATGAAAACATGTCTTTCTGAATATGTTGGATGAATTCACACAGGGGACATTCTCAGATGCCTAGAACTGAATGCATATGTAATTGGGTTTGTGTGTCTTTCTGTACAGGACTTGTTAAAAAGCCACATCCACATAGTATAATATTTAAATAATCATAGTAATCTCACAGGCAAAGCACTCTTCCAGTCGTAGACCCTCCAGTCTGAAACATGAAGGCCTCCCAGTAAGTGGTTCATTTGGCCATCTGGTTGTAAATTCCATGATGTGCTTGCCAAGGTCCATATTCCCAGTCAAATGTAAGGAATGTTTCCAGCACTTCAGAGCCAACCTCCAGTCTCCCTGACTCGCACCTCTCCCTAGGGCATCTCTGGGGTCAGTTTAGAGCTTATGTCATCGAAAAAGTCTTCCCAGAACCATTAGTTGTAATCATTTTTTTTCTTTCTTAATTTAGTATAGTTTATATATTTAATATGGCAGTTAGGATAGTTTGCCTCTCAAGAGAGTTATTTATATATTCCTCTTCTGGTATACAAGCTCTAAGGGTTGGCACCCTATCTGAATTCACCACACTTAGTACAGTCCTTGGCACATAGAAGTATTTATCACATTCATTAACTAACAAACCTAATGCCAAAAATTATATTTTGCAAAGAGTTAATCTGATAGGAATCTTAGACCAAAGAAAACTTAAAGAAGGTATTCGTTGATGTCGTAACATCTAATTGTCCTAGGTTGAAGACATAGGTGAAAGAAGAATAATTGCCTAGGGAAGAATGCTTGTAAATGTGCTCCTAAGAGGCTCTGTGATTGGTCAATGTTATGGCAGGAGGATTCTGGGCTTTAAGATGCAGTTTGGGAGTCAAGAAGTGCTTTGCTAAGATCTTTTAGCACTGACTTTATACCTTTTGTGTATGACAACTTGATTCTCCACACATGGAGCCTGATGTTAATAATCACATTTGTCACTTGCTGATGGAACAGAAAACAAATAGATACAGTGAAAACAGACAGTTGTAGAGAACACCAGATATTTGGGACCCCGCATTCTCTTCCTTAGGATTCTTCCTGTGTGAGCCATTTTTAAATCTGTAAGGATTCTGCAGGGTGGTGAGTCACAAGATTCCAAAATTTATTGGCACCTGGTTAAGAGAGTCAATGATATCTGTAGCACCATAGCTTAAAATAGGTCACAAAATAAATTACCCTTATTTGTTAATTTAAGAGGTCCATAACTTATTTTGTGGTTTGTGAACTCAAGTTGTGTGAAGATGAAAAAGATGTCTCTATACTAAAGATTCTGCATGTAACCTCAGTAGAATAACTTAATTGAGGAGAAACAGAGTATAGTAGGGCAAGAACCAAAAATTTTTGGGCTACATTTAGCTCTTTTTAATAGTCATTTCCTATCCACCTATCTGACCTAATATTCTCTTGACTATTAGTAGGTAAAATTCTTAGATGTTATTACTATGTCTGTTCAACCTACCCTCCACTGACTGTAAGAATGTGTTAAAGACCACATCTAAATCCCACAGATTTCCATCCGTGAGGTAGTTGATGACCTGACCTATGTTACTGTATAAAGACATTGATTCATGACTCTTTCCTATGGTTACAGGAGTTCTTGTAACTTTTCTCATGGTGGGACACATCATTCAGGAGAACTTGAATCCCTGTTCCCAAGCCATCGTCATATGTGCCGCTCAATCAATGACTTTCTTATTTTCTCAAAGTGGACTTGAATTTTCCCTTAGTTCTAGGAGAGACACTCATAACCCTTAGTTTTTCCTTATACCCTTGCTGTAGAGGAATATCAAGCTTTTTTTTCTCTTTTCTATCACTCGCTGCTTTCCTTTGGTTTGGGTCTTGTTTGCTCAATACCCTTCACCCCCACCCTTCATTGTTAATGGGTACTGGCCCTGCAGTTGATTGACTTGATGGTTATTATCATATCTACAGGAAATACTTTATTACCATATCTACAGGAAATATTTAAAAACTTATTAACTAAATTCTTATTGGTAAAGCATCTTTTACCAATCTTCCAGCAGAAACTAACAGCTTACATTTATGGAACAGGTCAGTTTGGTTTGGTTCCAGTCTGAGTTGACTTTTGGACAAGCATATTACCAGGTATAGCCTCTAACTACTAAAAGAATCATACCTTTATAGATTTATCACTATTAGGTAGATGAAAAATTTTAGAACATGCTTGTTATGAAACACAAATATATCTTAGTTATGTAAGTTCTTTTCTTTGCTGAAGGCAATCAAAGTCCCAGAAAAGAAATATTAAATTACTGGGATATGAAGGATGGAACTTCATGTCAATACTAAACTTAAGAGGCATTTGACTTTTCTTGTGGTTTAAAGATTGATTTCCCCCTTCGGCATAGGGAGGACATACAATTCATAACTCTCCTAGTTTCTCTTTAAACCTTGCTGTAGGGAAAAATTAAGCTTCCAAAAGTCGCCAGTAACCTGAATAGTCAAGGACTTGGTATTGGCAGGATTCATCCTTCTTTCTGTAGTTATGTTCTCAGAACTCTAGATTATCTTCCCAGAAGTGATGAAGCCTCAAAGTCTTCCTGCTTAGGGATTTCCACATTTACTCTGATTCGGTGAGTGTTTCCTGCTACTTCTAGCTCTGGAGGTTGCTTATTCTATCATCAATACAAGTATGGGGCACTATTACTGACTTAAATTTGCCCCCTACTTGTTTGAAGGGAAGGAAGGAAGGAAAGAAGGAAGGAAGGAAGGAAGGAAGGAAGGAAGAAAGAAAGAAAGAAAGAAAGAAAGAAAGAAAGAAAGAAAGAAAGGAAGAAAGAAAGAAAGAAAGAAGAAAAGGCAGGCAGGCCGGGTACTGGTGGCTCATGCCTGTAATCCTTGCTACTCAGGAGGCTGAAATCTGAGGTTTGTGGTTCAAAGCCAGCCTGGGCAGGAAAGTCTGTGAGACTCTTATCTCCAAAAAATCACCAGAAAACTGGAAGTGGCTTAAGTGATAAGGTGCTAATCTTGATCTGAAGAGCTGAGGGACAGTACCCAGGCCTCCAGAGTTCAAGTCCCACAACCAACAACAACAAAAAAAAAAAGAGAGAAAAGAAGGAAGGAAAGAAAGAGAAAGAAAAAAATGGAAATACTCTTTGAGAGGTTTCTGCTTAGGTTAAAGAAATGAAGCTCCAATTATGAAATGGTAGGAAGTTCAGGCCCTCTGGGAGAAATTTTTGAATATGGATGTGATGAATATTTTATCTATTCCTTGGCCAGAATTAAAGTGAGGTGGGGAAAGAGACTAGGGCCCATAGAGGAGACACTTTCAAAAGTATACCCTCCATGGGGCTGGGAAGGTGGCTCAGTGGTAGAGTGCATGCCTTGCATGCTCGAGGCCCTGGGTTCGATTCCTCAGAACCACATAAGCAAAAAGAAAAAAAAGCCAGAAGTGGCGCTGTGACTCAAGTGGTAGAGTGCTCGCCTTGAGCTGAAGAGCTGAGGGACAGCGCCCAGGCCCAGAGTTCAGGCCCCACGACAGGAACTGCCCCCCCTCCCCCAAAAATACCCTCCATGAACCTGAAAAGGAATGCCTTCAGTTTTGCTTCTTTGGTACCTCAGTGTTGAATTGTGCTCTCGGCTCTGCAGCATCCCTTTTCTTTTCATAAACATCCTTGCACAATTTTGGTTCTTGTGTCGAGGCTTGAACATAGTAATTGGTTCAGTGATGTCATGTGATCTGAGTGAGGGCAAACATAAATCTTTCTTGAAATATCCTGTAAAGCAGTTCACTCTAGAATATGAACCGTTAGGATATAAACCTAGGTTACCATGAAAAGAAAATGAGCCCCCAAAGAAGCTTCTTTAAGCAAAAGGAAAGCAAAGACATGGGAAGAGACAGACTTCTTAAGT